GCACGCCCTAGTAGTTAACTGTTCTAACACTGGTGAAGAAAAACTATGATGTACCAGTTAGTTTTACGATAAATTTTTTTTTAAGAGGGAAAGCACATCTTCAATTCAAATAAGGCGTATCTACTTGACAAGAGGACGCATTTGCGAACTACCATATGTGACGCCTACATCGCGATGTTTGATCGCTCAGACTAGCATTCATGCATGGCTTTTGGTCCTTGGCTATACTTTTTCGGTAGTTCAGTATACTTCAATATAGTATCTAGATTTCATTTCAGTAGTCCAAATGGAGGAGCTGAACAACTTAACATTTGAGAGACTTCAATGTGTCTCGGAGTTTGCGAATCTTGCTGTTCAGCTGGAGAACCAGTTAGCTTCCGTTCGGTCATCAATGTCGAAAGCAAGGTAGCTCTGTGCTTTTTAGGTAGTGTGTCCTCACGGATGTGCTTACCACCTTATGCTTTGCATTCAGAACCTTACGTGGCGTAGTACTATCGCAATTGTTCAACATTGACATGCAAACGTTAGTGCCCACATCAAGGTAACTTTTCGAAATATCCAGGTATTCTGTAATCTTCACTTAGTTGGACTTGCAGGGTCAATTATGATGGAGAAACGTTTACGCTTGTGGAAACAGAACAAGACGGTGATGAAAGCGACGATAAGGTAATCTCAGGATCTGATTTGTTTACTCTCAGACCGTACGCGAGAACCTGATAGTCATATCGAAGGGCGGCTTTATAACAACTTTAGATAAATTAGAGCCCGATTTCCAGCTTTCTGTTCAGACCACCCACCTTGACTATGGAGCCAGCTGGGCATCTGTTTCCTTTAGCGTTTTTATGGCTTCGAAATTCATCTTGTGGGGGGATTGGGCGATTGCTAAGCTAGAGGTCCCGCTATCACACAGTCTCAGAATCTCACCAACTTAATCCGAGTGGATTGGCGTACAACTATACGATGGGGCTTTCGTAAGGCGCAATAACCTTAGTCGGTGGAGATTCCGTATTTTTTCTATGAAGACCAAAGGAGACGGAATCAATTTGTACAAAAATTGAGGAAATTACTACTTACTTACTTTCGCTTAATTTCACTTGAGTAAATCTTCGAATAATCGCCACTGATTGAAAAATGCCTCAATAAAAGGCAGTTACTCTCTTCCCACAGAAACTGAGTGAAAAACTTATATAGGCATATAGTTTCTTTCAGATTCGCCAACGCAAAGGAGAGCAGAAAGCAGAACACACTGAAGATGAGCAAACAAAAGCTAAGGAAGTGCCTTCCTTTCGTCCATTCGGGATTTTAGAACCTACACCAGCGAAGGAAGCACGGAAGTCAATGCACACTGTTCTGCAAGTAAGTCTCCCATCGTTGTTTTCGGGTCTAACAAGGGTAGGGTTTGATTTCGTTTCAGACTTCTGAGAGAGCTTGAATAGAGCGAAGAAACGCAAAACAGCATTTTTCAGACATCTTTTGTTAGCTTTCATATATTTCGTGCG